GCTCTTCTACTGCGAGCTGGCCTCCTTATATATGCTTAGCCTAGGCGGAGCCAGCTCTATGTTTTCTATTACAATACCAAGATCAGCCTGCTGATAGTGATTCTACAGCTTACAGGATGAATCATCTATACAATAGCTACGAACCTAAAGCTACGAATATGTACAAAAGATAGAGAGAATTCTCTATACACCGGGCGGCGGCATGTTAACAGCTCTCGCTGTGGTCAGCTGTAGTGCAGTCGGACGGGACATGTTCGGGTGAGGTGTGGTCAGTGTCCGCTCGCTGTCTTCCCTGCCTCTTGTCAGCTTCTCCGTCGCGTCGCCTTTTGCTCTCGCGTGACTCATCGTCTCGACTGTCCTCTGTGCGCCTCTCTCTTCGTTTGCTGCGATCTCTTGCGTGTCTGTTCCGATCACGTTGTGCACCGTCTTCCTCCGTCTGATCCCTGCTACGCGGTCGATTCCTGTCGTCTTTACGTTCCATCTGATGTTCCTGTGTCCTACGTTTGACTCCTCGATTGTTGTCCTTTTGCCTTGTCTCGTTTTCCGGATTGCTGTGCTTCTGTCTACGTTCCTTTTCCAATCGGCCATGCAACTGTCTTCTTTCCTGCTCGAGTCGGCGCTTTATTTAGCTTGGAAGACGCTGTTTTCTTTCGCCTGAGACGATCCAATCTCTCGTGCGATACCTCTTTCTCATCGTCGTCCGGCTCCCATTCCGCCTCAATCGCGTTCCTGACTCCAACGAGCTCCTTCTCAACTGTTTCTAATTCTCGCTCCGTTTCTCTTAGTTGCCGTTTGATTCTTTCCTCCTCTGGAGGGGCTCGCGCGGCGCGTGTTGTGGGACGTCGCGATGAATATTGGATGCGGCTACTCCGCTCGGTGGACAGTTGACGTAAAGCACTGTGCGCGTTTTTCGACTCGAAGAAGTTCTGTAGTCTTTTGAAAAGGAGTTCTGTTACTCCGCAAGTCCGTTTCAAGGGCTCTGAAGACCCAAACGTATTAATGGTCAGTTCCACTGTACTGACATTCTGGAGTTGTAACCGATCTGCGAGTTCATTGCTTATGAACGAACGGTCTGCTCCGGTGTCGAGCATGACATGGATGGTCTCCAGTGCTTGGTCCCTTGTGTTCCGGACATAGGCTTGTCCGACAAGAATGTGCACACTTGCGGAACTTCCTTGGTGGATAATATTAGACGCGCTCGCCTCCCTGAGCGTCCTCTTGCGAAGGACAGTTGTTTGCCGTCCATAATACCGGGTATGTACCTTCGTTGCCACCGAATTACGCGTGAGGAGCCTTTTCTTCGTTGGTCCCTTGCTTTGGGATACCGGCTTGTCAGGCGCTGTGTTCGGTTGCCGCCGAGGCGGTCCTGATAGCTGTGGACATATAGACGTGTTGTGCCCCTGGATGCCGCATAAACGGCATGCCCCTGCAGGGCAGTACTTTGCCATGTGGTCCCATTTTTTTATTGCTCGCCATTTGGCGACACAGCATCTCTCTTCAGGCATGACCTCGAGGCGCTCTTCCCGGATTTTTTACGATATTGCAATTCCTTTGGCGTGTGATCGCGCTTGTCGCAGTAGAAGCAGACGTAGCCCTTACTTGCGCTTGAGAACTGTGGACGGGTTTTTCGTGGTTCTTTTCTTTCTCCTTGGGCTGTCTTCTCTTCTTTTTTGTCGACTCGTCTCATGACCCTGAGCTCAGTTGTGATATAGTCTACATATCTGAGCATTGGCTTCCGCTGTGAACCATGTGCTCTCGGGCGACTAGGAGCTGCCTTTTGACGAGTGAAGTGACTTGGATACTTCCGTGAAACTTTGCCGAGAGCTTGCTTCTGCTGAAAATATGTCGACTATTCGTTCAGTCGCCTTCAGAGTTGAGCTGGCCGTCGTGAGAGATGCAATCTGTTCGCGTAGAGCTTTTCCTGATCCTCCAGACGATCGCTTAGGCCTTGTATTCTTTGGAGTCGCCGCACCATTTGGTCTATCACGTCTGGGTGTTCGTCTGTACTTCGGTTCTTCAGTGGGCCACTATCGAGCGAATATAGTCCTTCGAGAGATCTCGAACTGCTTCACGGACTCTTTGGCGTCTCCCTGTAGCGCATCAAGGAGATAGTTCAACTTGTACAGATCGTCCATCTGTCTGGAGTGCACCGCATGTTCGAAGACTCCCCAGAACGTTTCCCATTCCCAAATTCGTCCGGGCTCCCGCTAACTTCGAATGGGGATTGGGGCCAAGTTCGTCAGCGGTACGATTGGAGTCCGTTCCCCTGCGTGTATGGGACGCTCTTCCCTGAGCTCGCGCAGTTCTTCCAGGCAGCTTGCAACTTGTAGTTGTCCGCGGAAGTAATGCGCCTGTCGAGACAAGCTGTTTGCACGTCTCGTTGGGGTCCGCTTTGCAGGATCTCCTCTATGGATGGAACGTCGTCCTTCAATTCGTCCGCTGCTTTACTGTATTGCTCTAAAGATTTGTCAACTTTATCGATCTCCGCAATCCAGCATAACCTTGCTGGCGTAGGCCTCTGCAAATCGCGTAGCTGATGATACGCCTATGTTGCTCTTGCTCATCCCCAGGAGGTTCAATCACCAGTGTGAGAAGATCACTATGCTGCTCTAGGGTTCTTTCTAGTCTATTCAGCGCGCGTGTCAATAGTCCTTGGCGGATAGAGAGTGTGGTGGTCATGCTGTTAGTGAAATGACGACGGGTTATGAAGACGTAGGACAAGTGCAATGGACGATGACTCGTGCAAGTGACAGACGTTCACGGAATATCGCCCTACCTCCTTGTCCTCCTTGAGTCCTCCTCCTCCTTGGTCGTTGCTTCCTCCACTTTCTTCGTCCGGAGCAATGATCCAAGGCGGGTCTCGGTCTCTGCAGTGAATCGATTTTCGCTACTAGATCTCTGCTCCTGTCCTCCTTGTCAATCCTAGAGAAGGAAGTCGCTCATATATCGGTTCTGGACGAGTATCGTGAGGTTCTCCTTACTTACTGGTCCGTGTCCGCGAACGGCTTAATTTGAGACGCGAGTCCTTCTCAAAGCCCTGGAACTCGACGGGCCTCGTCCTCGTCAGTTCGCTCCGTTTGCCGATGCAACCGATATCGCCACGCGTGGAACTGTTTGTACCTCACTTCGGGTAATTAAACTTTATCATTAGAATTTTATGAAAAACGGATATCAATAAAGGAAAATCAACTGGGCTCTTACTACTGGGCGAGCTGGCCTCCTTATATATGCTTAGGCCTAGCGAGCAGCCTCTATGTTTTCTATTACAATACCAAGATCAGCCTGCTGATAGTGATTATACAGCTTACAGGATGAATCATCTATACAATAGCTACGAACCTAAAGCTACGAATATGTACAAAAGATAGAGAGAATTCTCTATAGGCGCTCTTGGGCGCCTTACGCGCCAATTTGGCGCCATGCTAGCGCATAATGGCGCCAAATGACGCCAGCGCTCGAAACGGATGTTATATTCGTGATCAGCGCATCGAATTACATCTATAGGCAACGTTTCAGCGAAAAATTTTTTTGAGTTTTTGGGGTAGGAATAGTTCAATAGTGCCGAAAAGTTGACTATCACGAATTACTTCAGTTAATGGCAGAACTGCGGCATAGTTCCCTATGATTGTGAGAACGATGCCAGTACATTTTACACAAAATGTGAAGGTGAGGTTTAGCAAATTGCCAACAGTTGGTTGTGACCTTATAACGCTATAACGTCACGTCCCATTCGAAGGGAATCATTCTGCCAGTTCCGCTGTTGACTGAAATAATACGCTCTGATTCTCAACTTTTCTGCGTTCTCTGCTTACCATTACCACTAACTCGCCTATGAGCGTTTACTATTTGTTCAATCCTCTTTTCTCCTCTCCTCCTTCCACATAATGGGGCATAAAAGGGGCTTCTGATTGAAGCACAGTGCGGAGGCGCAAGCGATCACGGCGCTTTCGTCGCACTTATGATAAAGTTTAATTACCCAAGTTTGAGGTACAAACAGTCCCGCGTGGCATAGCGCCAGCGCCAAATGGCGCCAGCGCCAAAAATAAATGTTGGATTCGTAATCAGGACCTCAATTAACCCCCATATGCAAGTTTTCATCGACTTTGGTGAAAAAAGTGGTGGGCGCAAATGGCGCCAAATGACGCCAGCGCTCGAAACGGATGTGATATTCGTGATCAGCGCATCGAATTACATCTATAGGCAACGTTTCAGCGAAAAAAATTTTTTGAGTTTTTGGGGTAGGAATAGTTCAATAGTGCCGACTTTTCTGTGATCTACCGCTACCCTTCCACATAAAAGAGGCTGCTGGATTGGAGCACAGCGCCGGGCCATCGCCTTTCGCTCCGCCCTGCCGCCGCGGCGCCGTGAAGAAACCGCGCCGCATACGCGCATGGGTGAGTTTCTTCCACGGAGTCAAATGAGTTCAGGTGTGGTCGCAATTAAAACAATACCTCCACTTATACGATGGACTGTTCACAGGTTCCTTAGCGGTCGATCCGTCCATACGTAATCACAGTTGGAACATTGAATTGATACTTCTGCACTGGTCCGTTTTCAGGCACTTCACCTGTCAATCCCTTTTGTAGACGTACAGATATACGCACAAACAGACCGACAAACCGCCGCGCAAAGTGGTGGTGCATGAATTACATAGAAAAATATCTCACTTCGTTTTTTCAACAAGTGCGAGTAAATTGCTGTTGATGCCAATTTCGGCGAATGACAAAACGTTGTAGCGTTTGCCGTCGGAGAGTACCTTCGACTGACCAGAACAGTTGAAATCGCACGGCTTTTGGGCGAATGAGGCGATTGAACCCAGGTCTCAGTATTGTTTGTGTCCCAGCACTGCCCTACAATACAGTTACTCGGGGTCTGGCACTATGACGAGCAACGGTGGCCTTCTTGTAGTTGTGTGGTACCATCCATTTGTCGATCTGATGCCGAGGAACAGGCAATATGCACCGACAGTGACGGATTTGTTTCTGTATAGAGCAGATTGAAAGCCACAAAGGAGAAGTCCTTCGCTATGATGATCATCCACTTGGGTCCACGTTACATGGCAGAATACAAGGCGGAATTCGGGCGGCTTCTCATCTGCATTCATACAAAATTGACGCTTGTGAGTTTTGGCTCGGAGTTCAAGACCACCCACATTTCATCAGGGCCGGGAGGCGTTGTCGTGAATGACATCTTATGCTGAGAACATTACTGCTAGAGGCATAGAATCGGTACTGCGTTCGTGCTTCTACAAGAAAATTAGGTACCCATGCGCACACCCTCTTGACCATCCTCAGTTTATCGGACATAACTCGGGCAGCAGTTGCAGCAGGGATGTCAGTCTCGCGGGGAAGCTCGACAAGGGTCCAGGCTCTGGGATCAGACATTCAGCGCTTGACTTCATCCACCCTTTTTTCTTGTGGGACCATCCATGACAACAAATTTTTTTCCTTTCTTCCTTCTTCGGACTCCTGAACCAAATCTTCCACCTCGCATTTCGAGAACATGCATGCATCTACTGGTCCGGCACAGGTAATTTGTGCAGACCACTTTCCTCTTACGACGCCTGATTCGAAAATCCGGCGCTGATTTTGACAACTCGGACATCTCAATTTCTCT